TCCTTATAGCTAATTAGCTGCAGGATTGCTTTTACAAGCAGTGGGAGAAGATGCCCCCTCCCTCCCCCACTGCCTTCCACAGCCTTCTCGGGCAGTCCCATGCCATCGGGGGAACCTGAGAATGTAGCCGGTGTTTCTGACAGCTGACCATAGAGCTGATTGGAGACCAGAATGGTGCCAATCATCTCTATAGTCTAAGAATTCAGAAGCTACAAGCATTTAATCACTTCAGTTTCGCAGGATATAAACAGCGCCATTTGTAAATTGGGAAAGCATCTGATCACACCGATCTTGGTGACATTAGATAATGTAAGGGCAGAGGAGATATCTAGAGTCTGATAGAACCCAGATTTCTCAAAAAAGAATATATGACAATGCCCATTGAAGTTATAGGGGATATTTGCATTCCCGGTGATAGCATTAAAAATGATCAAAAAAAAAATGACAGTGTAAGATTAAAAAAACAAAAAAAAAAAAAACAAAACTTTGCCCCCCCCCCCACACTGTCCCCCCAAGAAAGGGACAGTGTAAAAATAATAAAAATATAAAAAGAATAAAAAGTACATTCGCACCACCCCACCACGCGAGAGTTGACCCTGCGCCAGCATGTAAACAGCGGTTGCACCATGCATGTGAGGTAACGCCTTGAACATCGTTTCAAGAGTAGTAATTTTAGCACTAGACCTGCTCTGTATATCTGAAATGCTAGCTTGTAGAGGCATTGACTATGGATATTAAAATGTATGCAGTTTGTCGCCACAGCACAGGGCATGCGCAGTTTTAAAGCATGTCATGTTTGGTATCTATTTACTCGGCATAGCATGATCTTTTATATGTTACCAAATAATTGGCCAATATATTGTGTTTTTGTGGATTAGAATAACATTTTTTTTTTTTTAATTTGTGTTTGAAAAATCGCTGCGCGAGTACTATGTGCCATAAAAAATTTCAGCACCCACCATTTTATTCACTAGGGTGTCTGAACCTCCAAACATTATAGATTTTTTTTTTTAAAACAAAGTAATTTCCTAGCAAAAATACAGATTTTTTCATGTGAACCAAGTGTGTCAGAAAAGGCTTCCTCTTCAGGTGGTTAGAAGAGTGAGTGATGTGTGGCATAAACTTCTAATGCTGGAGAGTAGACACCTTAAACTATTTGCTGAGAGGCATGTTGAGACAATAGAATAATTTATTTTTTTACCACAAGTTTTTGGAAAATGACAAAAGAAAAAAAAAATGTACACAGAATGGTCACTTGATTTAGTGCTCACACATGCCATGGGCGTATGTGGGATTACGCCCCAAAATATATTCTGCTACTTCTCCTGAGTATGGGGATACTACATGTGAGTGACTTTTTGGCAGTCTAGCCAAGTACAGGACACCAAAATCCAATAAGCACCTTCAGGCTTATAAATGGCTTTATTTCCTCGTTACACGTCTTAACTACCTATCATAGTTTTGGAGGCCCTGAAATGTCAAGACAGCACCAACCCCCCCCCCCCCAAAAAAAATTCCCGTGTTTGGAAAGTAGGAGCCCCAAGAAATTTGATAAGAAGCATGGTATTTTTTGCAGATCTCGTTTGTCGCCACAAATTTTAGGAAAAGAAATAAAAAAAGAAAAAATATGTTTTTGTTTTCTATTTCAAAACCTCATGAGAAAAAAAAAATTAGATCTGCAAAATATATACCATGCCTTTTTTTTAAATTCCTTGGGGTGTCTACTTTCCAAAAAGGGGTAATTTGGGGAGGGGGTTGGTGCTATCCTGCCATTTCAAGGCCCCCAAATCTGTGATCGGTAGTGAGGAAGTGAAATGAGGAAGTTACGCACCTTCAGGTTTTCAAAGTGGTCATTGGATGTCAGGCTCCTGTATGTGGCTAGGCTCCCACAAAGTCTCACACATGTGGTATCCCCATACTCGGTAGAAGTAGCAGAATGTATTTTGGGGTGTAATTCCACATATACCCATGGCTTGTGTGAGCAATATATCATTTAAGTGACAACTTTGTGTAAGAAAAAAGTGTGTCATTTTCCAAAAACTTGTGGAAAAAAATAAATCTTCCATTGACTCAATATGCATCTCAGCAGATAGCTTAGGGTGTCTTCTTTCCAAAAAAAGGGGTCATTTGGGGGTATTTGTACTGTCCTGGTATTTTAGCACCTCAAGAAATGTGACAGGCAGTCAGAACGTGAAAGCTGTGTAAATTCCATTATCTATACCAGCCTCTCTCAACCAGGGTGCCTTAAGGTTTCTTCAGGGATGCCTTGGCAAAATGTCTAAGAATTGCCCAATACTTGTATACAAGCTAGCGGGTGGAACAAGCCTGCCTTTTAGTTACACAAAGGCACAGAATTTTTATTGTACACCATTACGACCTTCTAACCACCGGCTTTCTGACAACCAATGACATCAGTTAATAAGGGATGTCAGCTGCCTGCACAGCAGCCTAGTTTCACCCTCCCCTGCCCTTCTCCATCAGTGCTGGGGTCACATTAGCTCAGTGATGGAGAAAAACTGAGGGAGAAGAGAAACACTGGAATACTAGTTAGTACCAGTGTGCAAAAGTGTATTTGCTTTGGAAGAATAAATCACCTCTAATGTTGGGTGTCCTACATGTGTGGATGTTGCTGCGTTATATAAAACTTTTAGAACAGTTTTTCACATTTTAGAATGGGGTGCCCTTTTAAAATGGACAGTCTTGAGGCACCCTATTTTAGAATTGGGTGCCTCAAGACTGTCCATAATTTTAAAGGGTGTTTCAGGACTGTCCATAATTTTAAAGGGTACCTTGACTGAAAAAAACACTGATCTATAACCATAGTTTGTAGATGCTATAACTTTCACACAAAGCAATCAATATACACTTATTGGGATTTGTTTTCCAAAGACATGTAGCAGAATACATTTTGGCCTAAATTTATGACTGAGTTTACTATATATTTTTTATAGCCGAAAGTAAAAAAATATTGTGTTTTTTTTTTTTTCAAAACTTTCGGTCTTTGTTTATACTGCAAAAAATAAAAAGCGCACAGGTGATCAAATACCACCGAAAGAAATCTCTATTTGTGTGACGTAAATTTTGTTTAAGTACAGCATTGCATGACCGTGCAATTACCAGTTGAAATAGTGCAGCGCCGAACAAAAGAAGGCCTGGTCAAGGAAGGGGGGGGGGGGGGGGTAAACCCTCTGGATGGCAAGTGTTTAAACTTAACCAGGATTTGAAAAACAGAAGCTGGAAGCATGCATTATAGTAATGCTTAACCATGCAGAAGGAGTACGTTTAACCACTAGCCTACAGGGCACCCCCCTAGCTGCCCAGACCAATTTCCAGCTTTCAGCGCTGTTGCACTTTGAATGACAATTGCGCAGTCATGCAACACTGTACCCATATGATATGAAATTTTTATAAATTTTTTTGTGACAGAGCAAGCTTTATTTTGGTGGTATTTAATCACCTCTGGGGTTTGTATTTTGTCTTAAACCAAAAACCACTGAAAATTTTGGAAAAAAAAAAAAAAGTTTTTTCTTAGTTTTTGTTATAAACTTTTGTAAATAAGTGATTTTTCTCCTTCACTGATGTGCACTAATGAGGCTGCACTGATGGGCACTGATAGGCTGCACTGATGGACACTGATAGGTGGCACTGACGAAGAGGCACTGGTAAGTGGCACTGATGGGCACTGAAAGGCAGCACTCATATGGCACTGATAGGCGGCACACTGATGCACACTGATCGGCGGCACTGGCAGGTGGCACTGACTGGCATTGATAGGTGGCATTGAAAGGCAGCTCAGATGGGCACTGATATGTGGCATTGATGGGCACTGGCAGGTGGAGCTGCTGGGGCTACACAGATCATCAGGGCACACTGATCAGTGCTCTGATAATCTGTGTACATGTCCCCTCCGAGGAATGCCGATTACCGGCTCTCCTCACGAGCTGTCAGCATGACAGCTCGTGGGGAAAGAAATGCCGATAACCGGCATTTCCCTGTTTACATGTGACCAGCTGTGATTGGACACAGCTGATCACATGACCGAGCCGACATCTTCGGCTCTTTCTGTGGATCGGTGATCCGCTGTGTCCGAGGGACACAGCGCACCGCCGATCGCCGCACTGCGCGCTCCAGGAGCCACGTCCTTCCAGAACGAGAGAACCACCTTGCATCCGTCATATTACTATATGGCGGGCGGTAGGCAGCTAAAAAAGATTTCTGTTGAACAGTCTCACCCACTTAACAAGCTTCCAAACTGATGTTACTTTTTAGAAAGCAGAGAAGTTAAAATAGTAGTAAACATCACTTGGACACATGTACCTACAGGTAGGCTTATAATGAAAGTACCGTTTAGGAGACATTCACAGTTTCTGCAGCCAGTGACGCCACCGGCGCATGAACACTGAAGAGACGGCACACTCATGCGTCCCTTCCGAGCTCTGTGCTGTGGGAGTAACATCATCGTGTCTTGGCCTAACGGCCAGAGCCCAATAACCCGGAAGAAAGACTGCGTGAAGATGGAAGCTATGTGAGTGGCAGGGATTTAATGGGAAAGTCTTTCATACCGTGCATACTAGCGCATTACGAGTTTAACTAGCAGGGAGTTTTTTTGTTTGTTTTTTTTTTACATGATAGTTTTCTACTGCTTTAAGGAAACATTCTCTTTGGAATTTAGTATCCCCAATTCTCATCTTTTAGATCAGGGATCTCCAAACTATGGCTCACGGGTCAAACCTGGCCTGTTTTTATTTGGACAACAGCTAGGTACAGTGGCCTCTCACATAGGTTTCCTCACCTAAAAATTAGGCTTCAAGCTGCATTTAAGATTAAAATTAGTTTCAAGCTAATTATCTGTAGTCCAAAACAGCTTTATGGAGCATATTCTAAATACTTTTCTTCTTATTTGTATTAATATTATAAATAAAAATTCTTTGTTTTTTCCTCAAAGCAAGGTTAGATAATACATTCTTTTAAAAAATATTTTCAAAAGAGATAGACCTCACCCTCTCAATACGAGGGGCTTTTGTTTTTCTTCTGCGCCTCTTGTGCCTCCTCATTAGACGAGATGCACTGCTCTGCTCCGTGGAGTTACTAAACCTGCAAACAGATAATTGTATAACTAGAAAGCAGAACAGTGAGGGGGATCTACCTGTTCTCACTAGAATCTGAACAAAAACTAGAACCTGCCACAAGGGAAGGGGGGGAGAGGGAAAGGAAGGGGAAAAGGGGGGGGGGGGGGGGGGGGGGGAGGAAAGAAAAAAAAGGGGGAAAAAAAAAAAGAAACTATTATACCTGCTGGTAGAATCATCCTCCTCGGAGTCAATGAAGCTAGTTGTGTCCAGCTCACTGCTCATAAGGGTAGATGAGCTTTCATACCCTCCAGTGTGTCCCTGCGTCTCTCCATTTTTGATGTACCATTTAGCCTGGGAGCTGTGACAAAGAAAAAAAAAAAAGTTAAAATATAAAGAATTTATCTAGGCTTTATAGACGTCCAAAAGCAAAGCATTCATGAGTAGATCAAGATGTAAATTAGTGAGCATAAGAGGCAAAAACTTAAAAAAGCAATGCTTTTGTTGTTAGCCAAAACCTGCTATAGAAAGGCACTCAGTTATACACCAAGTTTTCTCTTTTTTTAATACATTTTCCTTTTTCACAAGACATAGGTTACATACACCCACTATGACCATATACTGCTGCATCAAAACAATGTACATATTCCTCATCCACATTGAAGAATGGTATGGCTATGTAAGGCTAAACACATTTATGCAATGGCGGTCAGAGAACCTATGTATTTATAGCCAAAAGCATAGAATGGCAACAAGAAAACCTGGCCACTATAGAGGTGTGCCATTGTTCAAACCAAACATAAGGCACTGAGTGAACATTAAAATGGTTGTAACCATCTGACATGAAAAATGAACAAAGCAAATCGCTTTATAGCGTGTGTTTGTCTCAATCCAGAGTACTAAGTATCATTTCTGTCTGCTACCTTATTCCTCTGCTATTTGCATGAGTCATTTCCGACAAGCTTTCCCGACACCAAAAGGTTACAGGAAAGGAAGCTCTCCAGAACACAGCCTGTGACTGATGGTCCTAGTTCTGTTCCAGTGTGCTGTGTCACTTCCCTTCATTCCCTATTTTTGTTATTGCAAACTTTGCTGAAAGGGTAATAAGTGTGCAGAGGGTTCCTCTGGGATTTGTAGTGTCAACATGCGGCTACACCACTTTTTGAACCCGATAAAAGGCATGTACAAGCTACTGGGATTTGAGCACAGGTATACTTTGTTTCTGTTGCATAGCCGGCCAGTAGCCAGACCTAAACCTAGTAGCTTTTCCCCCACTTTGTGCCTGTTTTCCCCAGGTTGGCATTATGTCCACAGTAGCATTTGCGTAGGCAGAGCAGAGTAGGACCGGCCATAGAGGGATTACTTTGACACAGTTGGCCAGCTTAAGCATGTATTGCAATATGTGTGAACTTAAAAACCCTATTTTTATTGCAAAGTTTGATGGGAAGGGTAATTCCTGTGTAGAGGGTTCCTCTGGGATTTCCAGTGTTAACATGTGGCTACACCCCTTTAGCACCTGATAGATAAATGCATGTACGGTACAAGCTATGGGGATTGAGCACAGGTGTATCTTGTTTCTGTTCCCTCCAAACTGCTCTCCATAAAGTAACTTCAGCTTCTCACCCCTGCTTTCTGAAAGCTCACACAAACTGTATAAATTCTGGACTTTAACCAGCTGTGAAGACAAGACTGTTGAAAAACAGGTACAGCCTAAAGGAGGATTTTTTTCATCTTTGTGTATTACCTGAGGATAGTCACTTCACTATTTGCAAGGGTTTACAACCACTTTAACAAAGCCAGCTTCTTCACTGAAAAGCAAAGATATCACTCTTAATATCCCATGTTAATTTCTCTGGCAAAAGTATTTTAGTCATAGTTTTCATCAGCAGTAGTCACAAAAACTATGATGAAAATCAAATCCATTTTTCTTCAAAGAATGAAAAACAGAACGAAAATATGAGGGAGGTACATTTACCCATGTGAACTTCTGCTTTCCTTGGAGCTCCGCCTGTAAACCACACGAAGCACACTTCCAGCAAGGTAGCAGCGGCACGCTTAGCACTGTGCATTACAGCCTCCCCAGACCGTCCAATTCTGTCCTCACCCTGTGCAATCCTTCACTCCCATAAACATGTTATTGGATATTTAACTAAACCAAATGGATTTTAGTCGACTAAAACGCACTGGAGAGTATAGTCGATTAAAATGACATTTTAATCAAAAGACTGACTAAAACTAATTTGAAATTTGAAGTCAAAATGAACGCTGTGAAAAACATTTCAAACAACTAAATTTTTCCCATAAAAACGGCTGGTTAGGGAGTGCTTGCGGAAGTTACAGTGTGCCCAGAAGTGGCAGCATCCAAAACACTTGCTGAAAATAAGTTAGTTAATGATCATCTTTTATCAATGGGTAGCCTAAAAGAAACTTGCACAGTCCATATAAAACAGAAGTATATTGTTTTAAGTAAATTAAAGTGCAGGAACCAATATTTCATTGTTCATGAGTTTCATAAGTCAGGGCAAATGAAGATCGTTGACAGGTTGGTATGAGTTATACTACTCACTGCATTCTTTGCCTATTTGAATATAAGCCTATAAGCTGTTATGTATGCAGTTATAAAATCAGTCTAAACAAGGTCAAATATGCAGAATAAAAACAAACAATCCAAATGAAACAGAAGGGCGTATTCGGAAAGTAGACAAAATGTTATTACCAGCAATGAACTAATTTTGCATTTTGGTATTTCAACGTATCACTTATGGCTGACTAAGAGCTAAGATCATTTTGGAATTCACATAACAGTGAAGTTAATCACAGCTGTAAACAAAGTCAATCATAGCCGTGTAAATGGGTTTGAAGTGCTAATTACTACAAAAATTACCAAAATGACAACTTAAAATATGAATTTGATTATGACTAGCACACCGTCTGGCCATCAATCATAAAAATATCTGTTCTAGACAAAGCAAAAACAGAAGGCGCAAGATTCTTGAGTCCACATGCAAAAGTCCTCCCATATATTTATGTCTAAATATGGGATCCAGTAGTATCTTACTTGAAAGGTAAACTAGACAGAATAGCATGCAGGAGAGAACATGTTATCTTATATCAGGGGGCATTTACATTAGCAGAGTATGTATGGTCAATGCAACCAGTTATGTATTTGAGGTATTATGTATTTGAGGTCGTTTTCTAACCAGTTCTAGATAAGTGAGAGCATATTGTAACTAACTATATTACGGTCCACAAGTGTTTACCAGAGACAAAAAAAACAAAAAAAAAAACACAAAGAAAAAAACACATTTGTAACATGTTGTATGGGTATACTATGGGGAGCTTGAGCATTCTAGTCATTAGTTTAACATGCTTTAAAAGGGTAACTCCACTTTCCTGGGGAAACTCCCACCTCCCCACCCAAAAAAAAGCCAAAACAAAAAAAAACACACACACACACACCATATAAAATTGCTACAAGCCATGTTGTACTTGAAAGTTAATAAAAATTACCATTCCTTTTCAATCTGCAGTGCTGTAACTTTTCTATAAGTCCTCATGCACACTGGATGTTTTTATAGCTGCTGTTTTTGGCTTTTGATGTTTTTTTCTACAGCCAGTAAACTCCCCAGCATGTTATCCTATGTGTCCATGCACACAGACTAATCAGTGTTATTTGACAGGGGCGTTTTTGCCTGGAAACAAACCTTAAAACTTGTGGGTTTCTAGAGGAGTTTTTTTAGCTGTAAAAAACGCTCTAACGCAACAAAATGCAAACGCGAACAAACGCAGCTAAACACTATTGCAAAAACGCTGAAAAACCTCACATTTTGAATGTGACTTTACACAGCTAATGTTACCAGTGTTATTAAAATGCCCAGTGTGCATGGAGCCTTAAATTCAATGCAATATGGCTACCTGAAGGTGTTCTGTACTCCATTTGTGCACGGAACACCTCCTAAAATGTAATTTCCTGCTTGTGTGATAGGCTCAGTGATTTTCCCAAAAGTCTGCACTACGATACAAAAATCAGATTTTAGGATTTCTCTGCAACAAAAATTTCACTTTTGGTTACTGTAAATATTCCACAAGGATAATCACTTCTCAAGGGATTCAGACCCTGCAATTTTTCTCATTAGAACACTGCACGTGCATCAGCTGATTGAAAATAAAAAAGTCACTCCCATTCAGATTTACTTTCCTCACTGACCACCAGCTTTTTGGACAAAAGAGAAACAGGGTGATAATTTTATTCTCAACAAAAGTGGAGTTACTTTTTAAAGTGTAATTGAGGTACAGGTACTGATACTGTATAGACATCATACCTTAAAGTGTTACTAAACCAAGGACCCTGCATTCACTATATCTTATCTCCCACAGTACACAAAACATGTAAGTGCAATTGTTTTAGTAAATATAAACTGATAAATACCTTTTCTCATCAGCAGTTAGAGCAGTCTTGTGACTTCTATCAAGGTCCAGCAGAGCACTGGTTAAAGCTTGGAGGAGTTTTCATTCTCTCCTATGAGGCTGCAGGACCTTCAAGGAGACTCTAGGAGGCAGGCAGTTACTCTAACAGAGCTGGACAAGGCCATAGAAGGTCCTTAAGACATCAGCAGGGGCGGTACAGTATCTGCTATGTTGTTCAAGGAGCAACAGGAAGAGCACTGCCAGAGCCCTACAAAATGACCTCCAGCAGGCCACTGGTGTGAATGTCTCTGACAAAACAATCAGAAACAGACTTCATGAGAGCGGCCTGAGGGCCTGATGTCCTCTAGTGGGCCCTGTGCTCACTGCCCAGCACCATAGAACTTGATTGGCATTTGCCACTGAACAGCAGAATTGGTAGGTCCGCCACTGGTGCCCTGTGATTTTCACAGATGAGAGCAGGTTCACCCTGAGCACATGTGACAGACGTGACAGGGTCTGGAGAAGCCATGGAGAATGTTATGCTGCCTGTAACATCATTCTGCATGACCGTTTCAGTGGTGGGTCAGTGATGGTCTGGGGAGGCATATCCATGGAGGGACGCACAGACCTCTACAGGCTAGATAATGGCACCCTGACTGCCATTAGGTATGGGGATGAAATCCTTGGGCCCATTGTCAGACCCTACGCTGGTGCAGTGGGTCCTGGGTTCCTCCTGGTGCAGGACAATGCCCGGCCTCATGTGGCGAGAGTGTGCAGACAGCTCCTGGAGGATGAAGGAATTTATACCACTGAATGGCCCCCACGCTCGCCTGACCTTAAATCCAATAGAACACCTCTGGAATATCATGTTTCGGTCC